CGATCTCTGAACGACGTCACTCTGAGAAGCGAGTTGATTGCCGTCGTTACGTGGAATGCAGTCAGGGAAATCAATTGATTGCCTGCTCGCTTACGCTCACACATCTTTCTTCTACAGAGGCCGACGTTTGAGTTACTCAGGTACTCGAGTGTGTGCCAATTGGTCACGCTTGTACGCATGAACCAAGTCGATTTGATTGGTGGAAGCTGATCAAACCGACCTCAGTGTTCAGATTACCCAGACCGCTATGATAGGGCTATGTTTAAATGAAGCAGCTGCAATCGGCTGTTGCAGCATAAGCCGTACGCGAGACACACGCGACTGCAGATGTCATTTTAAAGCATCTTAGTTTACACGGGGTGTCGACTGGGACGGCTATGAGGTCGGATTTGGCCTCATCTGCCAGGTGCAATTCGACGGCCTGTATATTGTCAGTATTGGTGGTACGGCCCTTTATTTGCTGCACGATTATGCCTTCATCTGGATGCGTTGTGTTTGCTGTTCTCTGCGCAATGTTGGACGGCCACCACTCTCATCATCATCATTATCACAGTTCCCACCATCGTCAAGCCCACCACTCACCGTCTGTTGGGGATCCACGATTCCTCAAGATTGGTTTCTGATTTTATTTACATTAATTTATTAACATTTGTGTTGTTACGCTCTTATCAAGTCAAGGTCAACCTTAACTTGAATTAGTTTCGTTTTCACTTTCGATTTCACTTCTTCTCTGCACGTGGCTGACGTGAATAAAGCTCTCTGCTCAAGCTCTGGTCTTGTTCTTGTATTAGCCTGGGAAGGTCGGTTCTAGCTTCAGCAAGGGATCTGGTACCGTTATTTGAGTGGTTTTCTCTTTGTTACGGGCAAACGTAACACCGTCAGATCCTCTAATGTGACGCAGTTGTGGAGTGACTAAAAGTGCGTTCTCACGCTGTACCACGTCGATCAACGTTGCTTGTGCATCCTCTCTTTCTCTCACTCTCTGTGTTTGTGTGTATGATATGATTGAATTTTGGGAGAAAGCGCCAACTCTACCAGCTGAATGCACGACCTGCCTTATTTCCTTCTTCGAATTCGTACCATCGATTGAATGCGAAAGTCCCGTGGGGCAGTCACTTAGAGCTGCAAACGCACCTCACATGTTTCTTGAATGCTTGAGTCAGTGACTGAGGACTGAATTTTGAGAAACCTGCAACTTGGTTGAGATGAGGCTTCGGATTGTGGAGGGTCGAACACAGTGCCTGCTTTCTGAATGTCGCTGATTCTCGGCAAAATAGCAACGACAGTTCACTTCTTGTCTACTTTAGAACACTAGACAGCCGTCATCGTGCTGAACTATGCATGATCAAAATGCGTAGGTATATAAATCGCGTTGAGAGGCACACTAAAGTCAACCAAATTGGACTATTGACCCAGGCATTCTTCCTCTGCCTGCTCTGCAATTGGCATGCGTCCGTTTTCATCGCAATACTAATTGAGTCTGATTTCGTAGCAAATTATGCCGTCGTGTGCCTCCGACAGACTTAACCTGGTTCATTTTCTGTCCTAAATTTAGTTCACTCATGCCAGGCAAGTGTTTTTATTGTCTTTTGCTCTGCTGCGCAACAAATACGGCACGATCTGTGTGCAAATATGCATAACCGAATCGTGTATTTTCTTCCTCCAAAACTGACCAATCAGAATGGGGCTAAATAGGAAGCCTCTGTCAACGCGTGTGCCGGTTGAAGCGGTCGAAATCAAAGCCGACCGAGGATGCAGTTTCCACGCCACAGGCCACTGAACCTGCTTTTTCAATAGGTTCGTAGGTGCGGTGGTCGTGTACGTTGATTAACCTGGTGCCAGGTATTGCGAAAAAATGTCGTAAACGTGGTACAACAGGCGTTTATTTTAAAATTTCGTGCACACAAATATGTTAGCCTCCGAACTACATCACGTCCACGTCTAAACGCGCAATGCCATGTCCGTAATCTCCAGCACCAGCTGTTCAGCACTCTGAGCGAACTGTTAAACACCATGATAAGATCGATTTGCATATTTCATTCTAAGAAGCAGCACTTGTTGTTGATTTTGAGGCCGAAAATAATAGTAAATTCTGGGCTTTGCGTGGATGGATGGGTGGAAGAGGAGTTTACAAAATCGTATCGACAACAAGACCTTCCCAGGCTTTGCCGGTTTGACTAAGATTCCTTGCTGTTGCCACGGCAACGTCCTCACCCGGATTTTCGACTTGCCATCGTTCAAATGCCGAGACGAATTTGCTCAAGGCCAAATGAGCCAGTGCAGCTACGAAGCCGGCAACGTGGACGAAGTAGCCTAAGGATCCCCAGAATGCAAGTGTTTCTTCCAGGGATAACAGAATCCACCCCACGGTGAGGTAGTCCAGCGCTCGTCTCCTGAAGAACCACCGAATGAATGCCAGTCCGCCAGGTGGTAGCACGAATCCGAAGAACGCCATCAACGTCGCGATGCCCTCCTCCGTCTGACTGATCAGAGGGAGTGTAATGACAGCCAGGAGGTGGTTCGGCTGAACTCCGAAGCAGTAGGCGTAGATGAAGAGTGTCACGACGGAGCGCAGGAGGCGTGGACCCTGGCATCGTTGGTACACGTAACTGTCCATCCAGTAGTAGATCGTCTGGTTCCAAGCCTGGAAGCTGTCTCGAATCCTCGGGCTGAACTCGCACTTCCAAACGCTGACCGACTGCACGGTGGTGTAAGTGTAGAAGTAGGAGGACGACTCGGTCACAACTGGGTCGCTTTCGCCGTCCGGCGAGTTCTTGTCGATGACGTAGTCTTCGACGCTTGGGAACTCCACATTGCTGTCTCCCGAGGATTCTGGCTGAGTTAGCCATCTAAAATCGCAAGCAAACACTTTCCAAAGTGACTGGCGAAGGTTGCGACTAGGCTGCAGAATATTTGAAAAGGCTACAATGATTGTGCTGATGGTCAGTTGTTTTAAATGCTCCAAGTTTTAAATATTCTAACTAACGTTTGTCCAGCTGCTGTTTTCTGGGTAAGAGAGACGTTGCAACTGTGAGTTTTTATGCACAATCAGGCAGTATTTAATTACTCGCAATGGTTGCGTTGGAAATTATTCTTCTATTTGGTTTATTGTGGCGCTCCACCATCTTGAGGGTGGTATTGGTGCATCTGAATATGGCGGGGAAACACTGATTGGTCCGAAGTTCATAGGTTAATGGGCAGATGCGAAGTAGGGCTCTCATCATCTGCGTTCTTTGCATGAGACACACAGGGATCCCTTATTGGATTACCACTAACCAATCAACTTTCTAACTGACTAGTTTGCTTCTGCTTCTCCTGCAGTAACTCTTTACCAGTTTGACCAATCAGGATCAAGAGTTTAAAATCAATAATGTCACAATTCATTGAAATTCACTTCATTTGGTAAATGTCCGCATGTAGATAACGCATGACGTTGGCTAAGTGATTTAGAAAATAACCAAATTGCGTGGCAAACCGACAGCGAGTCAGTTGTCTAGCGGCCTAAAATCAGACATTATTTGACCAATGGCTGCACGGACTCTGTCACAATTGGGCCGCTTCTACCGGCCCGTGAGTTCTTGCCAATGACGTGGCATTCCGCGCTTGGGTATTCAACACTGCTGTCCCCTGTGTATTTGAGCTGAGTTAACCATCTGAAATTGCACACAAACATTACTTGGTGGAATTATTGACGAAAGTATTGTCTAGGCACTTCAGGTTATGCCTTCAGTATGAAATCATTCAGTCTACATCACACGCCTTTGCTGCCCGTGAAAATGACTGTCTTGTGAAACACGCCTCGGTGAACGCACTTTTAAGTGTGACGGTTTTACACTTGCAGGACAATGACAATTTGAGACATTCTACTCAAACACTCCTGGTGGTGGTGGTGGTGGTGGTGGTGGTGGTGGTGGTGGTGGTGGTGGTGGTGGTG